GTATTGTAAATACAGCTATAGTCAATATGATAGGAACTGAAAGATCCATTCAAGTTATCAAGCAATTAACATATCATTTTTAAGTTAAGATGCCTAAAATACCAAAAGGGAAAAACCAAAGTCTATGTTGAAGGCTATGAGCCACAGCTCTTTGAACAAATAATTAGACAGAAGACATTAAAGGAAAGTTAAACCTATGTTTGTTACAGTTTATTTTATTCTCATTGGGATTTTAATATTGGCAACTCTAAAATTGTATCTCAAAATTCTGAAGCAAAGGAACATGGTGGTACCTAAGGAGTTTCACATGAGATGTACAATAATAAAAATAGCTAAGAGTGAAAGGCAAAGTTCTTCAGCTGCAGGAGAGGCAGCCTAGCAAAACAGAAGTCCAGTGTTCCTGGCTGATCACACACAAAACCTAGGATCTCACGGAAAATTCTGTTTTTAACAGTAGTATTTGATTTCAAATGGAAATACACAACAACCAGCATTTCGTCTCTTACTAGTAATTTTTCTTGCTATAATGGCATGTTCCTGAATAGAGAGGGCTATTAACTTGGGGCAAATGTAAAGTGTTTTCATCTTTACACATTTATTTATTTTGTGGATGTAAATGCATAGCCATTCATGTCCCTTGGAGTGTGTGTGGAAGTCCCAAGATATTTTGTGGGAGAAGGTTCTCTGCTAGCATGTGAGTATTGTGTTGGTTTAAACAATCCATAGGAGCCTCAGAGTGCTCAGGATATGTCAGTGTTGCATTTAGGAAAAGAAATTAATAAAGCATTTCTCCATGTCATTTAACCAAGATCAAAAGCAGATTTCAATTCTCTCTTTCTCTTCCTATGTATTCTGTCATTTCTGTATGTCTTTTGTAGGAGAATGAATCTATGTTTGCCTGAATTCTATCTTGTGAATGTGTTTTTTTCCTGGCTGTGTCTGTCACTAACAAAGAGCTTTGCTCTCTCATTACTGAACAGCACTGAAAGATTCAACATGAGGAAGGCATTGTACAGCAACCTTTAATGGAGTTTACAAGGTTGAGGTGACTGACTCCAACTGACTACATCCATCCCCAAAATTAAACAGTACTAAAAATACTGTTACCAAATGATTTACATATGCTGTATCCAACATGTATGGGGATATTCATTTATCAAGGCCATTTTTTCTTACAAATGGTTTTAAGCAACTATTTACACACATACTCATGCATTGCTCTGTAGGTCAGAAGCATGGAAGAGCATATAATTTATGATTTCAGCCATGCATTACCTTAGGTTGTAAAAGGTGATAATACAATAAATCTAAAGCAAGAAAGCTCAGTTGTTTTCTTAAAGATAGGTAAAACAACCTAAGAACACAGGGTAACAGCCTTATACCTTAAGTGACCTCAAAATATATACTAACTTTGGAAAGCTTTGGTTTCAGGTGTGGGGCAGGGATAGGGCTCAGGCCCTCAGCATTTTTTTCTATTAAGCCATCTCATTGACTTTCAGTGTAATTTATTGCCATCCTGTTCTAAGGTAAGCCTGGCACTGCTCTGATTCCATTGCCTCTCTATCTGCTCAGATCTGGATTATATTGCCTCTCTTGTCCTGTCTATGACTGGGCCCCAGGAAGTAAAATGGAAGATTTCTAATCACTTCCCACTCATTGAACAATAAAATCTCCTTCTGAATTAATGTTTGTCTAACTTCTTAACAACTTAGGTTTCAGTTAATGAAGTGCAAGAACAGGACAGTCTCTGTGATCCTCTTTATTCTTTGCCTTAAAGAGGAATACAAAGAATTGTCTGACTTACCTCTCAGAGCACTGATAAGACCTTTTCACTGCTATCTCCCCCATGCTGGGAGCTAGGAAACTTCTTATCTCTGGCTATATGAATGTAGCTACCTAGAGAACAAACTGAAGCACCCGGATTGTTTAAGAGTATAAAGTTAGCATTAAGTCACACTCCAACATTCAAGCTTCCTCATGACTGTTTATTCTTTATTAAACTCCAGATCTAAAAGTAAGTATCATTCTCCACTTTCCTGAATCTCAAGTACATAAGATTCTTGTTTACAAACTATTTATGTGAAATAAATGTATTTGTGTCAGTTTTGCTCTGAGTCTAACCATCATGCTAAGGAAAAGGATGATTAATTCTATCCACATATACATCTTCATCTGAAGATATAAAAATTGTATAATTATGCTTTATTATCTCCTTTACAATATATATTTATTAAGTCACACATTCTATCTGGGAGCTCAAAGATATATAAGGAATTGTCACACTTTCATAGATCTCTCATCTTTATCCCTACACAATTACAATATTCTTTATGAATAAAGACACTGGAAAAGATCTTACATGACCATGTTTAGCATCTACCGTGGTTTCGTCCTTCTTTACACTTTAGAGATATATTTTCTACTACCACTTTTGTCTGGATGTCTGTGTTCTCTTGCTATCCATGTGCTGTGATCCTAATTCTAATGCAATTATTACCTGTCTGGTTCTTAGGAAAAGGGCTAGGTTATCAGTCCAGAATTCTCAAGTATGAGATAAACACCCTCATAAAAGAGGCCAATATACCTCTCATCATTCTTCTGTTTTGTGAGATTAGAGAAAATCACCAGCATCTGGGGACCATGATGCTGAGGCTGAATATGCAGGGCTTGGATCTTGGTCTTCTCAGTCCTGGGCACTATGAGCAATGAATCCCAGTTGTTGATCTAGTCTGTAGCTTTTGTTACTTTGTCCCAATGGGCCAATGCCCACTTAAACACAGCAAAGCCATCAAACTGAAGGTATCTGTCCTTCACGAATATTAGGCCGTAATGAATTCTTTCTTTCCCTTATGAACAAATTTTGCCTTCCAAAAGACCATTAACATCAAAACAATAAATATGCCAACCTTCCTGTCTAATACCACATGTCCTTGGATGGTTCCTATCTGCCCACTCTCCTTTAAATCCCTCTAACTGTTCTTTCAAACAAACCATTGTTCTAAGCTGTGTTTTTGTGGAAGTCACATTAACACCCAATATCCACCTAGTAGTGAATGTTTTCTTGAAGTTTGAGCAGCATGGAACAACCTGATATCTCTTCCTCTTCCTCCCCCCTCTAGTCTCATGACATATGCATGCCATACATATTCAGTGAATTTTTAAGTTAGTTAATGAATGATTTTAGGCAACCCTGTGAAGTACCGGGGGGGGGGGGTTCATTATAAATAATTTGTAATGCTACTTCTCTTGGGAGAAAGATGGGAATTAAATTGAAAGGGATCTTTGTTTACTTACCAAAACTAGCTTAATATTAATGACTGTCACTATGAATAGTAGTTCTTTTTGAGCCCTAGAAATACCCTATATTGAAAAAATATTAGAAACTGTTTTATATTAATAAACCACTAGGCCTAGTTGAAGGTATTTTAAAATAAACTCAATTGTTTAAAAACTAACCAAACAAAATATAAAAATGTTTTGTTAGCACTTATGTTTTTATTTCCATAATTTTTTTAACCTTTTAAAATGTAACTCTATATTGTTTTCTTTTAGATTTTTTGATCATAGTTTTAACTCAGAAAGAAATTTGTTTAGAATTCTTTTATACAATGTTGGCATTTTCAAGTACACAACTTGAGATTCTCTCTCATGCATGATACTTTACAGATAGACAAGGATTTCATAATGTAAAAAGCCTCCTCTTTTCTTCTCTGAAAGTTTAAAGTACTATCTTCGAGACCAACAAAATTTTATAGAGGATAAAGTTTAGATGCTAAGAAAAACAGCTTCAAGATCAAATGAAACAGATTTTTTTAAAAGCGAAAATTCTTAGAGAAAGGTTATTATTCATAGAACTATTTATTTTCTGTACCTGCTGTATGCTTATTTTGTAAAATGCCATGTGCTTCACTACCCCGTTTCTGAGCTCCAAATATTCTAGAAATAGCAAATGTGAAAGAGAAACAGAGTGGCACGGGTAGCCATAGCAACCTGGGAGTGATGCAAGTCTGGTGGGAGCAGGGAAGAAGAGAACTACACAGATAAACAAGATTAGGTAAAAAAAAAAAAAAAAAGCTAGCAAATCATTGCTTTCATCCAGTGTAATAACAAATTCATAGTAAATAAACAAACTTGGATAATTGTCTGAGGAAGTTTGATTTCACTTTTAAAAAATGTCTTTAATTCCAAGTTATTGGAAATCTTTGTCTTTGGAACTACTTTGTCATTAGAGGACACTTTAAGTACTGCAGTTAAAACACCGGTTTACTCTTCAGTTGAGCAGTTTCTTTCACTGACTTGTTAAAGATTTGCTAGCAGATTATGCAACTCAGAAAGAGGATGACAACCTTAATCATAATCTCCATTTGTATTTAGTGAATATAACACAGGAAGAGAGTGACAACCTTAATCTTCTTTTTAATCACAATCTCTCTCTTTGTATTTAGTTGATGAAGACAAGCAAGAATGCAGTTGGAAAGGTGGGAGTCTGAATTCTGCAAGATTGTTTATGTGGGAAGGGCTGAGATGGAAACTATGGAACTGATCCTCTGGTTGCCTCACGGCTGCCTTTAACATGAGCCAGAAATTTGGTCCACATCCCTTAGGCACCAGTCCCAAAGGAGAAACTTGGGATTCTATCTTGTGTGGAATAAATGTGTTGGGTACACTGCTGGGGAAAATTGGATCCCGAAACTGCTAGCTCACAATGAATCTGTAAATAGTAACAAAAGCTCTGAACTGAGATTCAAGTCTCTTTGATGAAATAGTGCCCACACTCTTCCACTCTGTGATACATTGCTTTCTGTCATACAAAGTCTATCTCATTTCTGTCAGCAGGGTGGCTTACACACTTTTCAAATGTCCTTATTTTCCCCTCAGAGGATCAGAGCCATAGCATTGATACTAATTTTCAGAAAATGGATACTTTATCTAGTCCTTGTTGGAAGTATTTTAAGTCTTTTTTCACTCATTGAAATTAAAACAATTTAAAGAAAAATTACCTTTAAGACTGTTTTGAACTCCTAAGGCTATATCAAGGGCATTGAAGGGCAGAACAGGTTCACTGGCAATTTGTAAAATTACTTCTCCTGAGAGCTGAAATGAAAAACAATAATAATAATAATTTGTAGCATTCAGTAATTAATAATTGCCATTTATTTATTTATTTATTAGATATTTCAAATTTTATTATATGCCCACAGCAATAATCAAATGAAACAAATTCAGTTTTCTAAAACTCCCTTTCCTTTCAAATTCTTTTTGAGTTTATGTCTCTGTAAAGAACAAAAAAAGGCTAGATATCTTTTTCATATCAAAGGATAATAGGAAGACACAATAGCCCATTCTTTTTTGAGCTAAAATGTAGAGTAGTTAGAGTTTAAAACAATTCTTTATGTTCAAAACAGGATCAAACATTGTAAAAAAAAAATAGCAAAAAAATCTGATTATTGAAATTAAATAAAAGACCTCCAGACACAGTTAACACTTGCACCATTGTTGTTTTTCATTTAATGAATAACCAACCTGATATATTTCTTTTACCCTTAGGTATACCTTTCTTGATGCTTAACTTTATTCCTAGCAATGTTTCTGAAATTTATCAAAGCTGATGTTCTCTCTTCTCTCTCTCTTCTCTACACACACACACACGTATATATATATATATATATATATATATATATATATATATATATGTATATGTATATACATACACACACACACACATACACACACACACACACACACACATACATTTCTAGAATACACCTTAAATTTAATTTAAAATTTTTTGAAAAATCTCTACATGGAATCCCTCAAGAGCATGCTGGGGCTTGATTATGTTCATGCCCTACACTCTGCTTTAAAGATGTATTTGAAAACTGACCCATGTGACACACCAGAATTAATGTGTGCTGGTCACATTCTGCTAGTCATCTGTATACACAACCATCACAGAACCTTAAAACTGCCAGAAAATGCCATGGCTATATCTCTTTCTCCATCTTAAATGATATTCTATGTTCTCCAGGGCTACACACATGTCCCTATGTCTCCTATGACCCTGAATCCAAGCATAGAGGGAAACATGACTGTGTTGGTATTATAAATGTTCTAGGCATTATGGATAGTTATAAAAACTATAAATGGAAATCAGAGCATTAGCTTGAGTCAGGACAGAAACAGAAACCAGGTAAACAGGATTTGAATATATATATATATATTCAGCATCATATCCTATAAGTTAAAAAGTAGTATTACCCCATTGTTCACACAATTCATTTTATGGTAAGAATGCAGTTCAATCTGTTCTGTTCAGGCTTGATAAAAATATGTTTCTGAGAAATAAAGAGGAGAGATTGTTATCTCATTGAGGTATTTTATTCCCAAATATAGCAATGGATTTTCCCCAATGGCCAAGATATCTTTGCGGATTTGATCGCCAGCGTATCTCTTGTAAATGCTGTGGGGAGCTACCTGCTGATCACACTGTGCTTTAGGAACAGAAAATTGCTTATAGCAGGTTAACAGGAATCACCCTTGTACTCTACCTGTCCTGTCCAAACCGTGCACTGAACACCAATATTTGGAAATACATTGTTTGTACAAGAAAAATTTAAGGGTTGTTAGGAAATAGGAAGGCCCTTTTCTCCAATCTGCACTGTATAATAGGAACTATAGAACAGACAGGCTTTGTTGATGCTTTTGGTATCTGGAAGCTTCACTTTACAAAAGATTCAAATGAAAGTGGCTGGGGAGGAAAAAGGTGACTGTGTTGCTACAGAACATTGTTTTGTTCTCTTTTTAAAAGAGTTCATTTGGCAGTACCAATAGCTGGAAAGTATACCAGCCACCCTGCTACACCTTTGAAAAAAACCTGGCAAGCAAGAGTGGGATTTGAAGGCACCTGGTCCCTGATAGATGCTAAACTAGTCTCTTTTGTGGCTTACTAGGCAAGAGGGAGAGTTGTATGCTCAGTGTCATGTAAGGAAGGTGAGCTGTGCTGTCAGCCTTCCTCAGACACAAAAGTACAAGTCTCCCTGATGCTTAAGTGAGGCTTTTGTTTTTATTTTACCTACTACACTTCATTATAAGGAAATTCATAATTCTGCAGTAAGCAGAATTAAAAGTCATTTCTATGATTTAAAGGACCCACACTGATAAAATATTAAAAAGCAATGGTAAGAGCTAAAATACCAATGATCAAATTTTATCAAAAAATTTCTGGAAGCACAGCATGTGCTTCCACTCACTTCTCACCACAGCAGCTCAGCAGAGCAGCTGTGTATATGGAAGAATCTTACAAAGGCCTTTTAATTGATTATTTGTAAAGAATTAGAAGAAGACTCTAAATCTCTTTGCCTGTACTACTATTTGTAATATGTACATATGCTTCCTGACTTAAATATATCTGTTTCTTTTAATATTTGCAGGTACTTGCCACATCTTCACCTCCTAGGCAGTGGTGACACATAGAGCCCCAGGTGGTATTGTCTGACATATTGTCCATGTGGGTATTTGGGGAAGTAAATCTATAATTCATTTGTATGTGCAAAGGGGCTACTGGAAGGTAATTAAGGTTATGTTTGGTGCTGAGAGTGGCCCCAATAAAGGAATAAATAACAGAGAATAGGATGATTGAAGTTTGCTTGTTCATCACGACCTCACTACCCAGGAAGGGTGGAGATTCTCACCTGACCCTGGTTCCTTGCTATTGAACACTTCAGCCTTCAAAGCCATGAGCTAAGTAAACTTCTATTGTTCACAAGTTTCCCTCAGTGTGGTGATCTGTTAGCAATGTAAAGTATATTAAGATATCGCAGTGTGCATGATTAGTAGAGGGTAATTGTGAGATTCCACAGAATAACTAGGCACAGGGATGTAGTGACATTCAGTGGTTTGCTGTCATGGAGGCTGAGGCCCTTTTCCTGGCCCCCACAAGGTGGTGGTTCAAAATCACCTGCAACTCCAGCTTCAAAGGATTTAAGGCCATTTATAGCATCCTTGCTCACTGCACTGGTGTACACATATCCTCACCACACCCATGACAGCACTAAAGACCAAGCACATAATCTAATCTGCCTTTATGACCCACAAAATGGCTCAGGAGTAAAAGTACTTGCTATGAAAATCTGATGATATGGCCTGAGTTCAATTCCTAGCTATCATGATGGAAGCAAATAGATGAATACTAAGAGTTGTATTCTGACCTCTACATATATGTCATAGGACAATAGACCCACATATGGTATAAACACAAACACAGGCATACACATGCGCGCGCACACACACAGAGATAAATAAGTCCATACATGGTCCCAGGACCATCCATCCCTTCTTTAAGGCTATCTTAACTCTGATTAGAAGATGAAGAATGAAAAAAAATAAAAAAAAAACTTATGTATGAAATAAAGAATATTTTAAATATGTAAAATGAGTTATTGAATACTATCTTTCCTCCTTCACTAAAAAAAGTGATGTTAATAATTAATGTTCTGGAATTACTAACTTTAGTCAACATTCAACATCCAAAGATAAATCCACAAAACAGCATCTTTCAAATTATAAGGAGAATAGAAACAAATTGCACTCATTCCATATATACGCTTGTCTGTTTTCATGCTGAAATAGATTTTGTCATATTTAAAAGTTCACAGGAGTATAGAAGAACATAAGAGAGCAGGAAGATTGAGTCGGGGAGGAATAGAGGAGATCAAGAAAGGAGATGCCATAATAGAGGGAGCCATTACAGGTATAAAGAGAAATCTGGCCCAAGGGAAATGTCCAGAGACCTACAAGGATGACCCCAACTAACAATCTGAGCAATAGGGGAAAGTCTACCTTAAATGTCCTTCCCTGATAATGAGATAGATAACTACCTTATATGCCATCCTAGAGCCTTCATCCAGTAGATAATGAAAACAGAAGCACAGCTAAACACTAAGCCGAAATCCTGGAATCCAGTTTCAGAGAGGGAAGAGTGATGAGCAAAAACGCCAAGAACAGGATGGAGAAACCAACATAAACAGCTGACCTGAACAAGGTGAGCTGTATGGACCCCAGACTGATAGCCGGAAAGCCAGCATAGGACCGGCCAACCACCCTGAATGTGGGTCTCAGTTAGAAGCCTTGGGCAGTCTATGGGACCTCTGACACTGGAACCAGGATATATCCCTGGTATGTGAAAGAACTTCAGGAGCACATTCCCCATGGAGGGATGTAGTGAGGTAGTCCTTCTGTAGCACTGACCACGCCCATTGGGGGGTGGAGCGATGGGCGGAGGTGACCTGAGGAAGGAGGTCGGAGGGGGCCAGGAAGGCGCTCTCTTTCTGGCGTGACTCGGACAGGAGAGGATCGGGTTGAATTTCCTGGTGTTCATCTGTCTAGGTTGTAAGTTATTTCTCCCTGAATAAACATCTATTCGGCCTATTTGTTTATCCTGACCCTTATTTACCGCAATATCTGGTGTCAGAAGTGGGATTTACCTGGGTTTTGCCCCCAGGCGGCAGAAGCCGCCCCCCCCTCCCCCACCTTCCCCAACGGGCAGGGTTTAACCAGGTGGACTCACCACAGCTTTGGGACATTTGCCTCTTCCTTACTGCAAAGGAGATCTTTGCCGCTAAAGCAGACCTGAGAAGGCACTTACCACTTAACATTTTTTGCCCATTTCCGCACGGGACTTTGCATTCGCGCAGAGCCTCTCGGCGGCACCCGCCCGGCCGGCACCCGCCTGGCGGCACCCACCCGGCGGCACCCGCCCGGCGGCACCCGCCCGGCTTGCACGCGTTTCGTCTTGTGTTACAAGTAACTCCAAAAGTCCCCTTTTAACAAAATTCTGCTTGCCATAGTTTGTTAAGAACTTTTTACAGGAACCGGGATCAGACGAGCCTGGGCGGCTAGGCGCTATTTGATGACACACCTCCAGGCGTAGCTACCACAAGCTGAGATCTACAACTAAAAGCATCAAAGTTCCAGGACAGCAGAATTACACCTAAGGTAATTGTAACATCCTTTGCAATTTAAGCTGATATAAAATCTGAGATAAATTGTTCTATAACTATGGCAGATAATTTTACTATGCAGAACTTTAGGAATTA